AACACCAAGTGCTATCACTTTTCTAGAAGCAGACACTGTCTGAAAAAACATGCAATTAACTTCAGAAGGTGCAATTACTCAAAAGAGACTTAGCTGAAAAGTAAAATCACTTGAGTGGAGAATTCATTCTGTTCTAGCTCAAACCAGGATGATAGTTTAGACCTTGTATAATGAAAGTCTTTAACGATGTGTGTAATACAGAGTTAAGAGGGTGGTGCTTGTACAGTTGGGATTATTAGTTTACTGTGTAAACTTTCACACAATTGAGTCCATTTCAAATGAACCTCAAAGTCTTTAGGAGATAATATCATTTCTAATAAAAAGTTATTTTCAAGGGAATAGAGGTATTCTGTAAAGGAGAATAAGTGCTGTGCTATTGTATTTGCGTTAATAACTAAAAATTGGCAGGCATAGTGTGAATGTCCAGTGGGCCTTCTGCTACACCAGTGCCAAGAGCAGAGCTTACTGTTACTTTCCCCTTTTCTCCCAACAGCAGTAAATATATGGAGAAGACTGCCTAGAGCCCACTTCTTTGTCTCTAGCATTCCCCTTGTTCCTTGAACAGAGAACCATTAACTTACCTTTCTTTGTTGAATTTTCTGCCTGTTTAGTAAGCAGCACTGGCTCACTTTTGGGCCAGAATCAGTATAAGAGGAGGAGTGAAGGAGTAGAAAACAATCTATTTTGGGTACAGTGCCTGATATAGGCATCTTGTAAATCTACCCTAAGAAGATGTGGAAATTATGTTCTGTATTCTACTGCATTACTGAGTGCAATGTCCTGTGTAATTTCAGAGAATGAAGATGTAAGAGGAACAGATGAAAATACAAGACTTCTACACATGAAGTTTCATTTTGTGGCTGCTTTACGTGACTCCAAAAATAAAGTAGGAGAGGTGTGAAGTCAAAGCCGTCCTAGGAAAAATGAGTGTGTGGCCCCATTATCAGCTCTGCAAATTAGCCGTGACACTGAAGCAGCTAAGAATTAAACTGTAAATGGTAATCTGTAATTGTAAGTTTTCGGCTTAGGCTTTTTATTTTTATTTGGCAATTGGTTCTAAGAATTCTGAACAGAGCACATAACGTTCATTTAAGGGTGGAGAATCTGTCAGAAGCAACTAGGAAATGCTTGGATTTTCTCACATGTAAGGCGCTCTAGCCCTTAGGCATGTGCTTATGCTCTTCAGAAAGGGCTGGTTTAGGAACTCGTGATGATGAATGCTGCAGTTTCAGAGAACAGTTTCCTCTTAATGATGATAATTTGGTAAAAACTGTGTTGAAAACCACCTACTTCTCATATAATGCAAAGCAACTGTGAAGACCAAGAAACCAAATTAAATGGATCCATGTTTCATTATTTTGAAACATCTGAGTGTCACATCTTGGGACTTTTTGAGGCCTGGCTAATGAACAGCCTGGTATCACTCATTGTTATTGTTGAATGTTTGCATGTAACATCCTAGCAGCATAGGTAGTAATTGATAGGATACTTTCAGTCTCAAAGCTGCTATGTAGTATCTTAGTAGCATGTTACCATACCTGTGTTTGGTAGCCAGTAAAAAACAATAGTTGCATATCAGAATGGTAAGCGAAGGGAGTTCTAAGACTCTGCAAAACGCAGTAAAAACTTAGAAGCAAGTTCTGGTTTTTTTTTAAGCAAGTATTTGCCTGAAGTGCTACCCCAGAAGGGGTACATGATGTACTATTTTAGATTTATATGTGTCTATAGAAACAAAGTCAAAGTTGTACTTTTGGACAGCAAAGTTTTCTTTAAATAGGCATCATCTTTCTGTTTTCAATGACTGGTCTAATTGTTTTGTCAGTTGTTTCTGTAAATTCTACAGTGTTAAGTTTTTTTTTACGACCTGAAGAATCTGTATAATTCCTTTTCCAACTTTCTAGGGGTGTTTTCTGATTGGGAACCATGGGATATCAGAAAGTGACCTGTTTGCTGAATTTATAGCCAATAACTTCTAGTCATCTTCCTGTAAGCATTATCAGAACTGGACTGTTAGCTTTAATTGGCAGACTTAGGGCAACAGTTGTAGTTTGTTTTCTTCAATTTATGTTGCTTAACACTTCTACCACCTGGAGTTATTTTCCATGTCTTTCAGGCAATTCTGTTGTTTTGGAGGGTTGGTTCCTTTGCTAAGCTCTCCATTAGCTCCCAGAGTGTTTTCTGTGGCATTTCTGAGTTCATGAATGAGGTAGCTTTGGTGCTTTCATTTAAAGGAGTGCTCTTTATAGACAGTCTTGGGCAGTGTCTGAAAAAACATCTTTTGTTTAGGCAATGCAAACATGGTTCAATGCCTCCTCTGTTTTATCTGTTTTCAATTCAGTAGCAAATTGTTCTTACGATGATTTATTTTTTCTTTCCCCCCCCCAAGCTGATTACTACTTTGGAAATACAGCTGCCTCTTCCATCTTGTATTTTACTTCAGAGCATCCTGACTCTGGCCTTTTTGCCTTTTTTTTTTTTTTTTTTTTTTTTTTTTTTTTTTTGACCAGTTGAATGGATCTAGTAATGTGTTTCCAACATAAAAAAAAATAATTGTTGTTCAGCAGTAGTACTGACATTACCATATAAAAAAAAATTCTACTAATTATATTTATATAAAGATACTTCTCTGGAAAAAGGATACCTATACTGTATTTTGAGGGAGTAGTACTTAGGTTTTGTAGTTACAGTGAGTACAGAAAATAACTAGAGTTATCAATGCTTCTTTCAGGACAGAGGAGTGTCTTTTATTCTATATGCTGAATAATGGCATGTGCTTTTTGAATGCTATTTAATGACCTGGATGAAGGGACAGAGTGCACCCTCAGCAAGTTTGCTGACAATACTAAGCTGGGAGGAGTGGCTGACACACCAGAAGGCTGTGCTGACATTTAGTGAGACCTGGATGGGCTGGAGAGCTGGGCAGAGAGGAGCCTAATGAGGTTCAATAAGGACAAGTATAGAGTCCTGCACCTGGGGAGGAATAATCCCAGCAGGACAGGCTGGGGATTGACCTGCTGGAGAGCAGCTCTGCAGAGAAGGACCTGGGAGTCCTGATGGGCAGCAAGTTACCTGTGAGCCAGCAGTGGGCCCTTGTGGCCAAGAAGGCAAATGGCGTCCTGGGGTGCATTGAGAAGAGTGTGGCCAACAAGACAAGGGAGGTCATCCTCACTTTCTACTCTGCCCTGGTGAGGCTACACCTGAAGTGCTGTGTCCAGTTCTGGGCCCCCCAGTTCAAGAGGGACAGGGAACTACTGGAGAGAGTCCAGCAGAGGACTACAAAGATGATTTGTAGGCTGGAGCATCTCTCTTACAAGGAAAGGCTGAGAGGCCTGGAGAAGAGAAGACTGAGAGGGGAACCTTATCAATGCTTATAAATATCTAAAGGGCAGGTGTCTAGAGGATGGGGCCAGGCTCTTCTCAGTGGTGCCCAGTGACAGGTCAAGGGTCAATGTTCACCAGCTGGAGCACAGGAAGTTCCATTTGAACATGAGGAAAAACTTCTTTACTTTGAGGGTGGCAGAGCACCTGGAACAGGCTGCCCAGAGAGGCTGTGGTGTCTCCTCCTCTGTAGATATTCAAAACCCGCCTGGGTGCAGTCCTGTGTGACCTGCTCTTGGTGAACCTGCTTTAGCAGAGGGGTTAGACTAGATGATCTTTAGAGGTCCCTTCCAATGCCTACCATGCTGTGATTCAGTTAGGGCCCTCTTGGTTTTGTCTAAAGCTTAACTGAACTTAACCTAGTTCAAAGTTGCATTTATGTTTAGATGAATTGAGGAGTAAGAGTATCTTTCTACCTAGAATGGTATGGACTTGATCCCAGGCTAGGATTGCTGGTTGCTTCTGTCTCTGAAATAATAAGCAGTATCATATTTCTTTCTATTAGGTGTTTGGTCAGCTATGTCATTGCTAAGGCATTAGATAACTTATCTTCCTGTCCCTTGTGGCAAGTACTGCATGTGATGTGTATGTGATAGTTGACAACCTGACAGCGTTTCTGTGGAGCAGTTGCATCTTTTTTTTTTTTTTTCATGTGTCGTGTTTGATCCATCAGGTTTTGTTGCTAGCTTGCCATTTTTCATAATTGTCTCAGGTCCTTTAAACACTGAGAACTGAAGAGCTTTATAGTAAATAAAAATTATCTTTTGAAGGTTTAATCCAGGTAAGTCAAATTTCATTTATATCCTAAGCTGCTCCTATAGGAAATAACACATCAGTAAAGTTCTATCATACAACAGAAATATATGTTGAGATTTTATTCTTAGAGTCTTGTTAAGATGTAGAAAAGAAAAATGCTGACTAAATTTTAGGTACGTGAATCACAGTACTGCATGCAAGCAGTTATCTGCAGAATGTTTTTACCGTGGCCCTGTTTCTATAAAATGTACTATTACAGGAATGGCCTAATTGAAATAGTTAGGTTGCATGTGTGAGTACTTAAAAATTAGTGACTTCTACATTCATTACAAAATTACCGTGTTGTCTTTAAGCAAAGGTTCTTTGGTGCCCAATAGTTTGTCCAATCCACAGAGATTCTTTCTTTCAATGTAAACCAGAATATTTTTACATTGGCAGAAACAACAAAGGTAATCTTTCCACTCTGTAATGCATCTTCTTTTATCCTAATGCCCAACCTTATGTCCGTTATTTAGGAAAAAAATGTTATAATGTGCTTATTCCCTTTCACATGTCCAGTTCAACTCTTATGGAAGTAAACATTAGTGCTTCGATGTCTAGTGAATGTAAAGACAGACCATTGGAAACTCCTAACTCAGAGTTTCCCAGTGGTGAGTGTTTTGCTCATGGCAACAGCTTTTGTAATTTGGAAATCTGCAAGCTTTTAAGAAACTTTGCCAAATATGTGATGAAGCTTTCAAAAATGGGGTGACGTTATTCCAGAGGCAGGAAAGTGTAGTCAAGGAAAGTAGACATCAGTGTGCCGTTGGTAATGATTTTAATGTGTTTCACTACTGCTGCTCAGTATATTTATGGAAGAAGTGGACATGGTGGAGATGATCTATGCTATCTTTGAGGATAAAGCAGTTCAGGAGTTCAGAAGCTGTAGTATTATAAAGAGAGAGAAGTTCTGGGAAAAACTGTATATAGGCCTGTTTGATTTTGGTTTGTTCTGTTCTTCACTGGCTGTGGAGCAAATATGGATACTCTGGTGTTCTCTGACAGAGTTCTACAGTGAATGAGGAAATGAAGGAATTTTATTGCTATCTGATGACACACCACATAACAACTTAACTGACATTGAACACTTCTTGGCAACGACTAATTGCAACATAGTTTGCTAAATATTTAAGCCATTGCATCAGTGAGATACTTCTACCATTTCTGAGTTAGCTCTCCAACCCTTATAGCATCCTGGAATGCTCAAGAACGACTGAATAGCTTTAAGTGTGCCAATAAAGAAATATTTGACCTAAACCCTTCTTTTTTGAGTCATTGCCTTGTGAATTGTGTTTGGGGTTACAATGATAAATGATGACTATTTAAAATGTGCTTTTTATGTCTTCTTTTACATTAACTTTGTTAAAGGATAGAGTACACAAAAATCAAACAAGGGGGATGCAAATCATAAGATGACTGGGCTTTAAAAATAAGTGCTGAGAGAAGATTAATAGGTCAGAAACAGGTCAGGTTTTTATTAAAAACTAGCATTGCTAAAAAGTGAGTGATGGCTGGCATACTGGACTGAGAACCATGTTCTTAAATATAATGTGGGGGTTTTTTGTGGGGTATTTATATTTTATAAGCAGTTGCTAAGTTACAACCAAGCAGAGAAAAAGACTGAAAAAGACTGTGAAAACTGTTACACTCAGGGAAAAAGATTGATTTCCCAACTTCAGTCAAGATGATGTGAACTTGAAAAAGATAAAGTGAAGGCAGAAATAAATATCTAGCTTTCGTTCCCGGACTTGAACTGCTATTCACCTTTCTGTTTGGAAGAAGGGAGCTATTAACATTTGTAACCAGCAGCATATATTATACTCTGAGGCATATCTTCTGAATTGTACCCAGCAATGATTAATTGTGATTTTTTTTTTTTTTTAGCTTTTTTGCCTATGAGAAAAAATATTTTCAGTTAGTTATTTATGCATCATATCAATTTACAGATTACAAACATCTAAAAATAAATGAAGGATGTGTGCTGGAAAGCTTACCATTTTTCTAGTTGTAGCAGTTGCTCCAATAAAAGATGTTACCTTATAAGCTTTGTCTCACAAGAGTGAAGTTCCTGTTCTGTGGGCATTTATACCTAAATGTTTCATATGCAGTAGTTCTAGGGGAGAATAACCTTCCAAAGAATTCAGGGCTAAATTAAGATAATACCTATGATTTTATGTTTCTGAAAGTCAAATAAGGTGGGGTTTTGTTGTTCTAAATTATTAGTAACTCTTAACATTTAATGAAACTTTTCTCATTTAGGGTGGTTTTGACTGGTAGTCACAAATGACTGTGGCGTTACTTTGGAGAAATGTAAAAGAAACATACAGTGGCATGTACGCTCTGTGACTGATGTATGGGTCATTTGGTGTTACAGTAGAACCTAGAGCTCCTGCTTTGTTGAACATTGCATGAAGCCGTACTACTTAGTTACTACTCTGTCTTTTCTAGTTAGTATATATGTTGCTTAAAGGGAAGAGAAATTAAATACTCATCTCCCTTTATGCATAGGCGGTTGAAAGAAAGAGCCAATAAGTGAGTTGCCTGAGGTCCTATGGTGTGAGCTAGGAGTATCGTTACTAAGCCCATGTTTTCTGATTCCCGATCCAGTTGTCGTCTTTCAGGTCTCAAGTTTCTGTTCTGGCGTATTGGAAATGTTCAGCTGGATCAGACTGATAATGGCATTTATGATTGGAAAGTTCTTAATTTTTGAGAAGTTAGCTGAATCAAATAAAAAAATAAGAAAAAATATATTGAAAATGAGAGAAGACAATTACTGTATCGTCCTCCAGTAAGTCTGTTAGTTATTGAAAGGCTTCATAAAAATATTTGTATTCATCTGGAACGAGCTTTTTTGTTGCTTCGTTTGGGTTTTTTTCCTGGAATGATAAGTGATGTTACTTGGTTTTCACCCCTGTTCAGAAGTCATCAATCTTTACTTAGTCACTATTTTGTGTTGGCTCAGTTTGCTGAGTTTTTACATTGTTTACACAGATATATTTTTAGTTGTGCTGTACATTGTTTTGTCATATGTGGTGGCATGATTAGAATTCAAAAATATTGTTCTTGGTGCCCAATCTGGCACATTGTGTGAAATATAGCATGAGCTTTACGTTCATTGAAAAGTATCAAATCTGTGTATGCTAGGAAATATTTTAGGGTCAAATGTATTATTACTTGTGACGCTGCAGAATCTTAATGTGTTAGCAAGCCAAGATGCTATTTGTAGCTGCTTCTGTGAAAATTTCTTCTGCAAATTGTGACATACAGCAGTTGTTTTGGCTGTTTGCATTGGGTAACTGCTTCCAGTGGCTGAATTTAGATCAAGTAGTCAAGCTAGACAGATGCTGAATGATTTTAGTTCTCCTATTTTTTTTTTTTTTCCAAACTTAAAATATCACTCAGTAAATTCTTTTGTGTTAATTACTGTGGCTTAATGATGTGATTTTTTTTTTTTCAGAGCGTGCTAGCGAAAGCATCCATCAGCTGAAATATGCCTTGGAGGAAGGACAGTTTGCAAATGGTGAGGGTGAAGTTGGATTTGACCAGTCCTCTGTGGACAAGGGCAGTGATGATGTGGACAGGGGCAATGATGACAGTGGGAATGCAGCCTGGCAGGAATGGCAGCACAGTCATGCAGGTAAGATTACTCTGAAAGCAAATAGTTGAACAATTGTTAGAAATTATACTGATTTTAGTGAAAAAAAGTAAATATTTTTTGCTTATGATGTTTTTTATCTCTTCCTAGTTAATCAACTTAAAATTTTGTTGCAATATCAAGAAAGAACGGGAAGTGAAGTCTCTCCATCAAGGAGGAAGACATCATTTTGCGTATGTTTCTTCTTGTTTATCTTGTGGTGTTTGAATGAATGGCATGCATGATGAGATCAATTTTCTAGTATCCAGGAAGGAAAAGAAGCACCGAATCATTTTCATATTCTGAAATATAGGGGATTCCTGAGGCTATGGCCAGAACTCAGTATGCTTGTGACCATAGTGGAGGAAAAAGATCTATACTCTAGGATTTAGACTTTTCTCCTCTTTTGTTGATCATGCAGTGTGGGGCACAGTCCATATTGCTTTCAACTTTCTCATATTTTTCTTTCCACCAAAAGTTCATCCTTTTAGTTTTGGAAACAGTTGGGATTGATTACCTGGACAAATTTCTGTAAAAGCATCCTCTATTTTTCCTTTGACTGTACTTTAAGGATTCTATAAGACCTCCTTATGCTGTAAATATGCTTTTTGTAGAGAATTAGAGATGATCATGTAAGAACAGGTTTTGTAGCTCCGCCCAAATGCAGTGGGCTCTGTCAAAGTCAGTTACACCCTTACATGGGCTTCTCAGATTAGTGTTCTTGCAGCAGAATTGCACCAAAGTACATGCAATGGACAGTTCAGTTGCAGAGCAACTGCTGAATACTAGTATCACTATAGAAAAATAATTCAAATACATTGTTCCAGTTCTGTCTTTTGATGGCATCCACTGGCTGCTTTTGGTTTATACTAAGCCAGACAAGCAGCTCTTTGTTACCTCAAAGTTGAGGTAGCAGCAGAACAATCTAAAGCCTGTATTCC